CTCCTCCATCTAATGGTCATCCTATATCAATTACAAAATATTTGTGGCTTTCTCATACTAGTCACCCGAACTCTAATTAAATCTCCCACCTAATCTTCTCCATCCTTTTTTATTTCCAAAATATATTGGATCTTCTTATGTGTTAGAATGTGTTCATGCTATGATAGTATATATAATTAAATATTTATGTCATCTGAATGGTAAATCAAGAATAGTTTGTTGTTGTTATATTATCAAAAGATTTTACGTGAGAATATTTTTGTAATTATAAATTTATTGTTAAAAGATATTTTTATCATTTAAAATAAAATTTCTCTACTCTATTATTTATTTTTTATCCTGTAATAGTATTTTTCATGTTTTATTAAATATTTTTTAAATTAAAACTAATACTTAAAATTTGTAAGAATTTTATACTTTAAATATTCATTTTAAATAATTGAAAGTCTTAATTATTAAGATAAATGTTTATCACCAAATATAAATATTTATCACCCAAAGTAGTTACTATTATTTGATTCTAAATATAGTTAATATATTACATTTAAAATATTTAATCATGAATATTTATAATGTAATGTAATTTTTTTAAAAAGAATATGAACTTTTCAAACCTTTTTTCCAAAACTTGTTTTCTAAGAAAAAAAGTTCACTAGGTATGGTTTCGAATACATATGACCCAAAATAATCTTGTTACTATATTATTTCAACACTTTATTAATATCTATTATCAATTTCATAATTTTAACTATTATTAGATTATTTCAATAGAATATAAAATTTACTAATTGAAATAATAACAAATCCAATTAGTTTATTTTCAAAATATTGTTAAAGTTAAATTAAAAATGATGAATATTTTGTCCGTATATCATGTCCTAGGTTACACATAAGTTAATAAAATTTCTTAGTTAAAACTTAATTTCCTGAATATTAGTATCTTAATTTTATTAGTTATAATTTATTTTATTTTTCTGTCTTATTAAATGTGTGTATCAATTAGTAATAACAGTTTAGAATATAATATACAATACTATTTAATATTAATTTACATTAAATTATTCAATTTATTATTTATATTAAAATTAACTTTTATTTTCTATTTTATTAAAGAAAAAATCAGGTTAGAATTCACTTGTCCAATACTTCTGGTCGGTTTTTCCGGCATAGATGCATAATTATGTTTTATTAAGTTTATGTGTAACTATATTTTACAAATATAATATTCAGGAAATATTGCACACATTTCTGAACTATTCAATAAAATGAAAAAAAAAATATTTAACTAAATATTTTAAAAATAAAAAATAAAGCAAGAAAGAGGAGAACCAATTTCAAAAGTAGATTTTAATCCTAATAAAAACAAGGATACTGTGGGACTGTCAAAAGTATTGGACAATAATAATTACAATTTAAAAAGAAAAAAATAATATACAAAATAATGGTTAAATGAAGCATAAAAAAAGAAAATTTGATAAAAATAAACTGAGATCATAAAATAAAAAATGTAAAAATAATGAATCAAAGCAGAAAAATAGGGTATGAAGTGGAAAAGAAGAAGGAAAAGGTTTGTTTCACAACCTTATTTTGTCAACTTTTTCACATTACACTATTGGTGTTTTTCAATTTGAATTTTAGGGTTGGGGAATGTAAAGTTCGGGTATTTTTGGAAGGGGAAGGCAGAAAGAAAAAACCAAATTGTTTTTCGTTGTTTTCCTTGAACTCTTGCATTGACGTTTTTCTTTGAATTCTTTTTTATGTTTCTTTCTCGTCTTCGCTTTTCTTGTTCATCTCTTTGGTATCCACTATTGTTGTTCGTCGAAGATTGAACCTTTTGTAAGGTTGAGGCTTTTCGAAGGTTGGGGTTTTTCGAAGGTTGGGGCTTTTCGTCTTCCCACATTGTCTTTCTCGCACTTCATGACCAAGTAAAGGTTTCGAAGGTTGTGGCTTTTGACATTGACCTAGTAAAGAAATATGTATGCGACTGGTTCCTCAACAACGACAACATTAGAAGAATGGAAGCACTACAGGAATTTGGATGGTTATAGGATTGGTTTCATTTGTAGAGTTTTTCTTTGTATGTAGACAAAGATGGATTTTTGTCTTTTTAAGAAACAATGATATTTATGTATAAATTCTTATTGCAATATAATGTTAGCTTTCATGATTAATTAATATCCAATGTGATTTCATTTACATTGGGTACGTTTTGATGACTAAGTTAGCACAACGTTACTTTTTTAGTGGATGAGATTGGGTTAAGTGGATGATTGTGTTTTGATGACTAAGTTACGTACACCAACATTGTTTCTTTCCTCTATCATGGACTGCCCAAACATGACTTCACAGCCTCTACTTATTAAACACTAAAAATATGTGTTAACCATTGGATAAATGTCAAAAAATTAAAAATATTGGCCATGATTAATCAAGTTACCCCGGCTGGCTCTTGCAGTACAACTTTCTGTATAAAACCCAATTTTTATTCGCGTAATCATTTATGAGGTAGTTGTAATCGATTGCCAATGTGTTTTTGGCCTGCACAAGTTTTAGGACTTCACCTAAGTTGGTCATCTCACAAACATTGCTTCTTTCCTCCATCATGGACTGCCCAAACATGACTTTCAAGCCTCTACTCACACTTAAACCCTAAAAACAAGTCTCAACAATTGCATAAATGTTAAAAAATTAAAAACATTGACTATGGTGAGTCAAGTTACCACAGTTAGCTCCTGTAGTACAAGTTTGCCTTTGGAGAGTGACATTCTCACGGGTAGCTAACATGATCATCACACCATCATTGGGTCTTTCCTCCACCGTGGGTTGCCCAAACCTATGTTTTAGTGTAATCGTTTACGGTGTCCTTGTAATTGATTACAATGGCCAAAAAGGTCTACACTTGATTACTAAGGCATAATTTGAAAGGTCTTTGAGTCTAGTTTCCAACAAAACAAGAATAAACTCATTTGTAGTTTAGTGGTGGCAAAACAACCAACAAAGGTTAGAGGTGGCAGGAATGTATAAAACGTTAACTTTAAGGAATTAACTGCACCTACTCACATGTCCAAAAATCACAAATTAGTAGTCATTGGAAAGAGTTTTGTGTCTATTTTCTAATAAAAAAGAATCACATCATTTGGAGGTCTGTGGAAAAAGTTATGATTAAAATAGTCATCAAAGGTCAAAGTTATCTCACTCAAATTGTCTTTGGGAAATGACGTTCTCACAGCTAGGTTCAAGACTTAGCTAACATGATCATCACACCAACATTGGGTCTTTCATCCACCATGGGTTGCCCAAACCTCATTTTGCAGGTTCTACTCACACTTAAACACTGAAAAGAAGTCTCATCCATTAAGAAATATGAAAAAATTACGTAAAATGTCTTTGGCTACTTATGTGCCCACAACTGTCTCCTGCAACACAAGTTTTTGTATAAAACTAGATTTTTTCGTGTAATCATTTATAGGGTCCTTGTAATTGATTACAATGGCCAAAAAAGCATACACTTGATTACCAAGGAAAAATTTGAAAGGTCTTTGAGTCTAGTTTCTAATAAAACAAAAATTAACTCATTTGGAGTTCGGTGAAGAAAGTTACGAGCAAAGAGGTGACAAGAATATATACCAAGTAAACTTTGAGGAATTAATTGCACCTACTCAGATGTCCAAAAATCACAGTAGTTATTGGAAAGAGTTTTGAGTCTATTTTCTAATAAAAAAGAATCACATCATTTGGAGGTTCTCACAGTTGGGTTCAAGACTTAGCTAACATGAGCATCACACCAACATTGGGTCTTTCATCCACCATGGGTTGCCCAAACCTCATCTTGCCGGCTCTACTCACACTTAAATATTGAAAAGAAGTCTCATCCATTCAAGAAATATGAAAAAATTAGGTAAAATGTCTTTGGCTACTTATGTGCCCAGAGCTGGCTCATACAACACAAGTTTTTGTACAAAACCATATTTGTTTTCGTGTAATCGTTTAAAGGGTTCTTGTAATCTATTACAAGGGACAAAATACCCTACAAATGCTTGAAATCCAATAAAATTTTGTAAATTTCTCATTATTAATGGATGATACTCAATCACATTGGACACTTTGTTTGTAAAGTTCCAAAAAACAACTCACTTGACAATGCCAATAGGAAAAGGAATAACACTTCAAATAACATTCACAATAATGAATGCAAATCAACATCCATCTTCTTTAACCTTAAAAAAAATGTTACCATACATTATTTTGTTCATCTATGTACAATGATTTGTTACTTTCTATAATAACTAAATACGGTTGCCAGTGTATGGAGTCCTAAGGGCTCTACTCTTGTATCGCTTTCGTGATTCGACCTTCACAAACCTCTCTATAGTGGATTGGTTGGTTGGTTGGTGTAAATGTCTCCTGAGCTTACAAAGGGAGTGTATGTGAGATTCTTGATGAGTCGACTGTGTTCATCATCATCTTTATTCTTATGTTTATTCTTCTCTTTAGCCAACTCCGCCTCCAAAGCAATAAAAACACAATTAAGCAAAACCCCAAAACCAAGAAATAAAACCCCAATCAAATAAAACATAACCAAAACCGCAAACCCAACCTAAAGCCAAACCCATAACACATTTAAGAAAATGAAAAAAAAACTCATTTACCTTGCTCAAACCACCAATGTCATCTGAGGATGTCATTACACACAATGTCGTAAACAGGAGCTTTTGGTCCGTCCTACAAAATTGAAGAGGTTGAATAAAGCTTGGAGAGAAGACAAAAATGAAAAAAGAAGATAAAATGGGAAACAAGAGAAGAGAGATGATGAAGACCTAAGTTAATTTTGAAAACAACTTGTGAACCCTAACTCCCTTTCCAAGTCACATTTTTACATTAAATTTTATTTTCAAACGAACCAATCTTACGAGGACACGTTGTAAAAAAATTGATAAAAGAAGAATTGTCAATATATCGGATCCAAAAAAGAATTACCTGTTCATCGCGAAATTAATGTGTGAGATCTGACCGCACTAAAAAATAGAAAGAAGAGGTTTTACTAGGGTTTTATTACAAGCAAAGAGAAGGAATTAACAAGAGGAAGAAAATTGAGGCTCAAAAGAACTGAACTCCGGAGTACGAAAATGGCGACCATTTGGAAAACTAACTCCGCGAGAAACGCAGTGCGTTGTTTGAGCCAATCGCTGGCTTCAACTAGCCGCACTCCTTCGATTCCCCCTCGTTTTTCCTCCGTTCGATACCTCCGCACTGGTCGCGATCCTAGTTCCAGGTTGGTTTCCTTGCTGCTAGGTTTCGCTGTCGAACAATTATTATTTATTTATTTATTTATTTATTTCATTTTTAATGTTGAGGTTTTGTTGAGTAGGACCTATGATATTATTCCGCCTGTGAATTGGGGGATTCGGATTGTGCCGGAGAAGAAGGCGTTTGTGATTGAGCGATTCGGGAAGTACGTTAAGACTCTTCCCTCTGGAATCCATTTTTTGATTCCTTTCGTGGATCGTATCGCTTATGTGCATTCGCTCAAGGAGGAGGCTATTAACATTCCTGACCAGAGTGCAATTACCAAGGACAATGTCACCATCCTCATCGATGGCGTGCTTTACGTCAAGGTTTCTGGTTTTTCTTTTTGTCTATGCATTCGGTTATTGTATTTGAGTGGTTAGTGGCGTTGAACATTTTTTTTGTTAAATATCTCAATGAGCCATTCTGGGATAAAAGTTAAGCAGGTAAAGTAAATTGAAATTCTCATATAGGTTAAAATAAATTTGTGTATAAGTTGATTTATAGAAATGATTTCGTTTAGCTTCTACAATAGCTGATTTTTAGTTTATGTATAAGCTAATTTGAACTTATGGGGAGTGTTTGGTTCATTTTGACCTTTCTATTTTCTTCTTTGAGAAGTTTGTCCAGACCAGATCATATTTTTATTTATTTGTTTATTAGGGTTTTTTTTTTGGGAGTGCAGATTGTGGATCCTAAGCTCGCGTCTTATGGAGTGGAGAATCCCATTTATGCTGTCATTCAGCTGGCACAAACGACAATGCGTAGTGAGCTTGGTAAGATTACTCTTGACAAGACCTTTGAAGAAAGAGACACACTCAATGAAAAGATTGTGGTGAGTATAGTTATAAGTTCTTTGAATTTGTTGTATGTGCTGGTCATTTATCCCCTTTACTTACATGAGGAAGCATTTTAGATACTTTAAATTGAAGTCACAGCATAAAATCTTGTTGGTGAAGCCTTCTATAAAGCAGAAGAGAAAATAGTTGTGAAAAGTAAAGACTTGTCTCTTTAGATCGAGCTGCGCAAATTGTGGAAAGGATGATCGTGTACCTTAAATTAACATGGGATTCATTTTTTACAATTGGTTACTGGTTTATATATTAGACTTATTTAGAAAGGTTGGCATAATAAGCATGATTTCTAAGCTAGCTTGGTGCCAAGGAATTAGGACTGAACAATGACAGGAAGATATAATAAACATGATCTAACAGCTATGCATAGCCCTTCCATAAGAGTTAGTCCTGTGTTTTCTTTCTGACGTACCCTAAAAATTGTACTGACAGAGTTAGTCTTGTGTTGACCATATAGTGATTAATTGTGTGACAATTATTGCAGGAGGCCATTAATGTGGCTGCAAAAAGTTGGGGTCTGGAGTGCCTTCGATATGAAATAAGTAAGTTTTGGCAGTGCATAAATAATTTTACTATGTTTTTTACTTGATGGTTTCTTTGTAATTCTTTTTGCGATTTTCCTTCTGTAGGGGATATCTCTCCTCCACGTGGAGTGAGAGCAGCTATGGAGATGCAAGCAGAAGCAGAAAGAAAAAAGAGAGCTCAAATTCTTGAGTCTGAAGGTAATCAATTTGATATTCCAAACCTTCGAATGCTCAGTTTATACTTTTTTGCATTATTTTTCATCATGAAATTAACTTTAGTATCCATATCATTCAACTGAAAGGGGATCATGTTCCTGAGCCAACAACTACCTGTAGTCTCTAAGTTTTACTGGTATTGATATCCTATAGTTATTAAACAGGAGAAAGACAGGCTCACATAAACATTGCTGATGGAAAGAAGAGTTCAGTGATCTTAGCATCAGAAGCTGCAAGGATGGATCAAGTTAACAGAGCTCAAGGTTATTTATATCTTGATAACTTAGTTCCAACTTCCATTTATGTTTCAATAGTAATCTTAAAGATAAGCTTTAATGTCTAGTGAACATGATGTGATAAGATATCCCTTCATATTATTTCAAACTGGCCTTTATATTAAGGTCATTTCCTTATGTGCATTCTCTTGTTGAGAGGAATGATCTTATGCACTTTCTAGATGATAATGAATTGCAGTTTGAATGATAGTCTAATGAATATTTGATGTGTGTTTTATTTAACAACATGTCATGATTAATGATACAATCCTATTAAGGAAAGAGTATGATTGCATAAGATGAGGATGTCACATTCTAATAGATTGATAAGTCAAGTAAATCTTTGATATTTTTTTTTGGTACCTTTATATATAGATACATAAGTTTAAGAAAATCTAGAAACTCTAACAAAAAGTCTTAAGCTCAAAACACATAACAGAAAACTAAAATTACAAACACAACACATAACAGAAAACTAAAATTACAAACACACACTTTTGTCTATAAGATGCCTAACAAACATTCATCCCATAAATTTAATATTATGTAAATTTAAAATAAAATTACAATTTATTTAATTTTTTAAATTATTGTTTAATTGTGCTCATGATCTTTTGATTTGATATCTTCAAAACCTAATGATTAGCATTCTTCTTCTTAAGGTGAGGCTGAAGCTATCCTATCTAAAGCAAAAGCAACTGCGGAGGGATTAGCTCGTGTCTCAACTGCTCTAAAAGAAAATGGAGGACCTGAGGTGAGGACCTTCATGTTCATATTTTGTATATCACGGCCAGTAGTAGCATTTTATATTGATTAGACTTGAGAATTAAACTGTAAAATAAGAGGGCTTAATTGATCCTCTCGTAATCTTTTATTTATAAAAATAAATTGATACAAGAGTATATGATAATTAGGATAACCTTAGACATAATATAATCATGATAGGTAACCTAGATACAATATAATCATGATAAATAGGGTAACCTAGACACAATATAATCATGATAAATAGGATAATCCTAGACACAATATAATCATGATAGATAGGGTAACCTAGACACAATATAATCATGATAAATAAGATAATCCTAGACACAATAGGGTAACCTAGACACAATATAATCATGATAAATAGGATAATCCTAGACACAATATAATCATGATATAGGATAATCCTAGACACAATATAATCATGATAGATAGGATAACCCTAAACATATAATATAATCATGATAAATAGGATAAATATTCTAACAATTAGTTTAAAAAATATTTCTTGTTATATGTTGCACATATAAATTTCTTTGCTTTTGTAATTTCCTATCGGTAACTCTGCTTGATATTCTTTTATTTTTGGATTGACATTCCAGCCCTATAATATGTCAGTAACGGGGTAACTGGGAGACTTGTTTTGTTGCTAAAGCAGATTATTGATTTTTCTTTCCTAGTCAGTTTTCAATACAAGTTGTGATTGATTTTTTTATAGCATTTGACATTAGACCGTACATCTTTCTTGGTTGATCATTGAATGTGGAGATAAAATTGCCTCTTAATTGGTACATCTGTTTGAGCCTTGGTCCCATGGACTGACCAAGAAGGGAATATTACTGTCATCTGATTTTGCAGGCAGCAAGTTTAAGGATTGCAGAGCAATATATTCAAGCTTTCAGTAACATAGCCAAGGAGGTAATATAACCCATAAACTGATTATTTCTTGCATTACATAATTTGTTAGTTCGAAAATTGTTTTTCATTTCATCTTTACTTTTTCAGGGCACAACAATGTTGCTTCCTAGCTCTGCATCCAATCCTGCTAACATGATGGCCCAAGCACTTACTATATATAAAAGTCTGCTTCCAATATCAGGAAAATTAGAAGTAAATGATCCCTCGGTGAAGATTAAAGACAAGAGCTCACCGAAAAAGGAATAGTTTTTGATTTGTGAAAGTTATCATTTTCAAGAATTCCGTATGGATGTTACAGTAAATTGAATTCGGACTTTGGAGAGAAAAAGCAGAAGAGATTGAGTGAATTTTCTTTAATTCACTTTTGTGTTTCTTTCTTGACAAAATAATGAAAAAGAAAAAAAAAAAAAGATATTTTATCGTCTCACATGTCTGGCTTCCTTTACCTGCTTGCATAATGTCCATTGTCCAAATCGTTGACCACAATACATTACATTTTAGACAAAATAACGTTTTAGACATTACATTTTAGCCAAGAATAACGATTTAGACATTATATTTCAAGCAAGAATAGTTTTAGGCAAGAATAACGTTTTAGACATTATATTTTAGGCTTATTAAAAACTTTGAATGATATAGGATTATTTAATTACGAATCAATATATTATAGGTGTCTTTGTAGCTTATTTCTAAAATTGACAATCTTATTATATCCGAACCCTAGACTTCTAAATATAAATAAGCTTTTAATTTCTAAAAATATCACTTTAGTTCTTACAGTACTTCTAATGCTTATGAATGGTTATCGATGTTGTAACAGTTCTACTTTGTTCTTTTAATTATGGTTTAATATCTCTTTTGATCCGTCGAAAGAAGGCAAATGTTCAATTGCGTCTTACGTTTTCAATGTGGTCCCAACTTATGAAAAAAGTGTGCAATTAAATTCTTTTTGGTAACGGCGTTCATTTTTTAACGGGCCAGCTAACAGGGTGTATTGAAGATTGCAACGTGTCTAGAGAAGGTTAATACGTGACGGTGTGAGATTAATACGTGGCTATAGCGGTGTGAGGTTAATACGTGGCTATAGCGGTGTGAGGTTAATACGTGACTATATTATTACAGATAACGTGGCAGTGGTGAATAAATCAGAGGTTAGAGTTTGGGTTGCAGAGAAATTACGATTTGAGATTTATCATTGTGAAGGAAGTGTCTTGAAATAAGGGAGTTGTTGAAGCTGAAATCTGCAGAACGAATTGGAAACTTCAAATCAGGGTGTTGTTGAAGCCAAAGTCTTTCCCAGTATGACATCCAATTCCCAACCCCTTTTTACAGCCCCATGTATCCACGCCTCCATTTCAACAAAACCCACATACTGCATTTGTTCAAACACAACCAAGGCATCATATGGGCATAACATGGAAAAAAATGAAGTGCTATGTGATTGTGGTGTTTAGATAGAGATCGTCCAAATCGTAATTTCTCTGCAATCCAAATCCTAATCTCTAATTTATTCACTACTGTCACATAAAAAAAAATGATTTAATTGTACATGTTTTTCACAAGTTGAGATCACATCGAACTTTTTAAAAATCGTAGTTGTACATTAACTCCTTTCAAAGGACCAAAAGAGGTATTAAACTTTTAATTATTTTATAAAAACTACACGGTTAACTCGCGTTAATATTGTTGTTAATAGAAACAATAAACAGCAAATAAGTATTACTTGATTATCTTCATTTTAATTCAAAACTATTCCAACCTCTAGCAATTTGAGTCTACAGTAAGCAAAACGTGTTTTTCATCAGGACTTTCCCTGCTTCTAATAAATGAATCTACTCAAACACATTCATGCAAGTTTTAGATATCAGGGACAAAATGGTATATAGATTATTGGTAAGAGTGAGAGCAAAATATCAGGGCAACCACTAGTTCAAGGCAGCCTGGTGTAAAATATAGTGGGAATTTCTTGAACACATCATCTAGTAGTGAAATAAAAAAAAGTGAAAGATTCAGTTTATCATGTCGCACAACACAACACCTGAATATTTAATCGTGATAGCATACTAACTACACTTAACAGCAGAATAGTGAATTCAATGCATTAACTGCTTAAATAAGCATTCATCGCAATACACATTAACAAAAGCAAAATCTATATAGACTGAGAAGTAAATTGAGGCAAATTCCATAGGATAAGTTTCTAATAAGATATTTTAACAACACAAAATTTGTAAAATCCAAACTCAAGAAAGATAACAGAAAAGATTTCCAAACTAAATAGCAGCATGTCTGATCTCATGGTCTACTCGTCTACTATTATGGTTCCCTTCTCGCTTACGTAGATGCCATCAAGGAACTTCCGAATATCCTTGTTCTTAACATGACATTTCTGCAGCAAAATAACAGAAAAATGATTGAAGCCTAAACAAAAGCAAAATAGAGAAGGGTTTGAGTAGGGCATGTTCAGAGAAAGAAAATACCTGGTTAATCAGAGCACAAGACCGGGAGACAAGTTCGATGTCGTTTCCATCCAAAACCAACTCATCCTTAACCTTTTCAGACCGAACAACGGACACACCCTCGAGCATGTCAACTTTTCTCACCTAATCACGCACAAGTAACTAAATAAATCACTAAACCTAATCTCACATTTTTCTTAATATCAAATAAAAAAGAAAATTAATTAATTAAAAATATACAGGAAGAGTATTTGTGCACCTTCTTCTCGCCGAGGAAATTTCGGATTTCAATGGACTTGTTGTCGTTGCCAATGCTGGCGTTGATGGGGAAGTGAGCGTACACGAACCTCATCTTGTAGCGGTAGCCCTTGGTGACGCCGGTGATGAGATTGTCGACGTGGCTGAGGGCGGTGCGAATGGCGGCGGAGGTTTTCCGAGATCCAAACCAGGCGTCGATCTTGAGCTTCTTCTTGCCGTTCTCGTCGGTGATGAGCTGAAAATCAAGGTTGAGATGCTTGAAGTCTCGCACTAATTTTCCACGAGGGCCTTCAACCTCGATCACCTTGGCGTGAACCTTGATGCTCACGCCATCGGGAATATTCATCGTTTCCGATGAGAGAATCGTCTTCATTGTTGCCGCTTCACGCCTCTGTTGTTTAGCCTCCCCTCACTGCAGAAACACTGACGCAAAACCCTAGTTATTTCTTCACTCCCTCATTCGTTATTTTGATCTTATAACATCTCACAAAAAACGGTAACTGGGCCAGGCCCAAAATACAACAACCCATATTATTAATCTCTTTTCCGGAGTTAATATTTGCAACTACGCGTTTTATGAATATTCATTCTAATAATTTGTTTTTTCCACAAATACTCCTTTGTCAAAAATACCATCATGAAAAACTGCCAAATGTCCAAGAGTCTCAAGACGATGAACTTCGCCAGTTTAAATATTGATTTTTTAAATTAAGTAATTTAATTTAATTATTTTATAATAAAAATGTGTATTTGATATGAGAATGTGAAAAGAAATAAAATTTCATAAATGTATTAGAATAATACAATAACATAAAATTAAGAAGGCCAAATTGAGAGCATTGACTCATACATATAGCTTCTTATAGAGTTAAAAATAAATTAATTCAATTCATTTGAAAATTTTATAATTTGGTTTGATCTATAATAAATTAATGTGTGTTAAGTTAGTTCACTCATTTAAACATATTTTTCTCATCTAACTTATTTAATATATTTATTATAATATAACATGAATTAATTTAATTGGTTTATATACAAGAATGTAAAGTGTTTATATACTTCATCATATATTATTATAAAAATATTAAACAAAAATTAAAATATCAATTTATATAATTATGTAAATAAATAAATTAAATATCTAAATCATCTGAAAATTATTTAAGATTCTTTTTCTATTTATGCATCAAAATTTCCAGTTATGATAATTTGATTTTAGTTTTTATTAGAAAACAAATAAATTTATGAAAAGTATATGTATTCAAACTACTATTGAACCTGATACATATAAATAATCAGTTGATTATTTTGGCACATGGGGAAGATTTTAAAAGAAAGAAAGATATAAAAAATAATATTAAACACATAGAGATAGCAAAAGAATGTTTAATAAGTATTGAAAAAAAATGTTATAATTGTGTTAAGATAGAGATGAAAAAAAAAGGAAAAATAGATACTGGTATAAAAGAAAACTCAGAGAAAAAAAGAAAATACAGGAGCTAAAAAAAAAAATAAAAAAATGAGTTGGAAGAATAACAAATAAAAAATTAAGAGAAAAGGAAATTTAAGAAAAAAATATTAAAAAAAGAAAAGTTTAAAAAAAAAAAGCCAAAAATAAAAGAAAAAAAAAACTAACGGTGAACACCCAATTTCAAAAAATAAATGTCTGAAAAATATATGTCTAAGCAATTTTTCTTCTTTTTTTAAATTTTAATTAAGTCAATTAAAAAGAATTTTGATGAAAAACTTAAAAAATCTCTTTTAAAAGAAACAAAAAAGAAGGACAAAATAGAAAAAGAATGAAAAAAAATGAGACTAGGATTTTCTATTTTGTCCAACTCTGTACAAATAATAAGTATATATATTTTACTGTTTGCATCCCCTTTTTTAACCATTTTGAAACCTTCTTTCTTTAGTTTTCTCACTTTTGGACTAAGTTCAATACATGTCCAATACCTTACTACTAATTGACTTAAAGGTTTTTCCACTCGTGTAGTGACACGTGTCGTCTTATCTCTTCGTTTTCCACCAACTTTGTTCACCCAAGGCATAAAAGCAAGTGATCAATGACACTCACCACTCACTCCATGTAGCCAATCACCTACCTTTTCTTCCTCATTCTTCTACGAATGAATGGTAGAAACTCGTCATTTGTTTTTGCATCATTTGCCCACATCATCAGAGGGTAACGGATTCAAATTTCAAAAAGATTACTTTTTTTCTCTCTAGTCACAATAGGAACCCATCCATTCATCAGGGAGTTAAATCATACATCAACCCACACACAGAACAATAACCAATACAAGATAATACAACAAAATTCAATACAAAGAAAATAAGGAGAAATCCTGAGCTTTATTCCTTGCATAAATACAATTGATTTTTGACTACATTTGATTGATACGGTTATCTGCTTATGTTTGGTTCCACTTATATAACCATGACGAACACGTGAGATTAAGCGTTATGGCCTCCTTGAACCCACTCTTTTCTCCATTATTCTTCATCCAAACCTTCAACATCAATCCAATCGAGTTTCCATTTTATGTATGTTTTCCTCTCCCAACATTCACTCAACTTACCCTCATCACCATAATCTTCCATCATGCATTCAATTAACACTCTAGCTCTACCAACACTCTCACACGGCCATAGCCAGCTCCACTACCACCTTTGTCTTTCGCAAATATCATTTATGTTTGCCTTCTCA